AAATGAACGATCAAATATCATGTGGACGCGTGCAATAGAACAAACGATTTATGAACCTAACAAGTATATTCTTGTATTCCGTTGCTGACAGATATATTCTATGGGAAGTGAGAGTAACTCTTTCTAATGGCTCAACTTACCTCACTACTCTCTGATGCTTCAATCATGCCATCTTTATCATCATCCATTTGCTCGTGAATGGCTTTGATCGCTAAACGTCCCAGTCGATCTTTGTCTGCATCTGTACATAGATTGAAAACGCCTGTACAATCTATAAATAAAATACAAATATAAAAGATAAAAATGAAATTAAGCTATATTCTTTGTCTACTAACCTGGATCGGGAATATTGTATGCAATGGATTGTTGGCTCATGCATACTTGTAATGATAAGATGAGGCAAATGACAATAAATAGAAAGAGTTTCATTCAGAAACATGAATCTGAAAATCATTTGAACAGCACATGAATATAGATGGATTTGGCTACAAAAAATACTAATACTAATGTCATTGTCGTTTGTCAACTTTTTAAAACATAATTTCAACATTTTAATCAAGGTCAACGAAAGAGAAAATCATAGAAACAAATATTGTTATAAAGTTCACTACAGTAGGTGATATTCACTTATAATATGAAAATAAGTGCGTTGATTAAAATATAATATAAAGACTGTTATACAACATCAAAATGGGTAAAAAGATATGTAAGTCTAGACACATTTTTCTCCCTCATCCGTGATTTATTTACGAAATATGTTGTGAGCGTGTGAGAAGAAAAGTAACGTATTTCTAGAATGATTTCTGAAATATGTCCAATGTAGGGAAGTTTTATAAGGAGGCACAATAAATTCAATATACAATTTTTCGAGTAAATTATGTTATTTATTATCAAAAATAACATTAGTTAAAAGATAAAAAAATTTTTTCTTAGTTCACAAGCCAATTCTTGTTAAGTTTACTGATCACTATTTCGAAGAAAAAAAAATAAAAGTGACACAGTTTATATTATTCATATATTGAAGTGTTTCAGTCATTGAAGCGAAAAAAAGAAAAACATTCTTTCTGTGATTCAGTTTAAAATGTGATTAAATTTTATGAGAAAATTAATGTACGATAATAACTATTAGATACATTATATACTAATGAAATTTTTATTTGCAAATAGCGTACAACAACTACAAGTCAAAAATTATCGACACTTTTTTCTTATATAATGTGTCTTTATGTTTTTATTTTTGTTATTACTGAAAGAAAGAAATACCAGCGAAAGATTGCATAAAAACCATTCTCAAAAAGACACCTACACTTACCAGGTGATTATGCTTTTTTTGATATTTTAATATGATTAACGGATATATGTTCGATTGCCGAAAAGTGTAGGAATGCAAAAAGAATTGTAAATTTTTGACAAAACTACAAAAAATATTTTTATTACTTTAAAAGTCTGACAGAAGAACACAAGATATTATCTGTTTGAAGAAGAAAGAATTAGACTAAATCATAAACCGTTAATCTGTTTAACAAATTTAGAATAAACTTGGTCAACAATTAGACGACTCTTTCACTCATCTCGGAAGTAATGAATGATTTAGAATCAGATCAACTTTCAGAATAAATGATTCAGATAGACGAAATCAAGGGGAAAAGTACGAATTGTGTATTTCGTAAAAGGTAAATTGGACCTCGATTAGTTTTTTAACCACTTTTAATAGAGAAATCCTTAGTTTTACTTGCTTAACATGATTTCAAAAAAATGACTCAGGCAAAAAAAAAAATGTAATTTTATTAGTCAAGTTTTTTCTGGAAAACTAGATGAAAAACGAACGCAATTTTTGACAATTTTCATACACTCAGAAATAATTAAACCATGTTAAACGTGTAAAGCTTAGTATTCCATAAAAAATTTTGGAGCCACTTCAACTGGTTTTTATTCATTTCTTGATTTTTCAATATTGGGCGAAAAATAGCAACTAGTCGATATTTTCACCTAATTTAGCCTCTTTGCTAGAATTTTTCGCTCTTTTCGAAAATAAATACAAGAAGAAAAAACACATAAAACACACATATATTTTGCAGCAGTTACTGGGTCGATATAAAAGAATAACATTACAAAAAAACATTCTTTTTTTTTTTTTTTCTATCTGAAGTATCTAGTAGTATCTATTACATCTGTGTCCTACCGTTTATAGGGATAAAAAAACAATTAAGTCTCAAAAGAAAAAGCAGGAAGATCTACATGATGTATACACAGACACTATGTAGTTGTAACATTGATTTAAAAAACATATTTTATTTTACTGGAAAAAAGAAATGTTTTTGTCTGCCGCTAAGAAGGCATCCGACATTTTTTCTATTAAAGAAAAAAAAAAAAAAGTATCTATAAAAAAATTTTTATTATGATGAATATCAAAACTAATCAAATCACCCGTAACTGCCTCACATTTCTAAAAATGTGTGGCTGTTGTTTTATTTTTTTATTTTTTTTTTTGTTTTGTTTTTTGTAAAAATGTTGACGTATAATTTATGAAAAAACTTGATATAAAGAAAAGAAAAGAGTACTAGTCAATCGAGTTAGATGCAACGTTGAAACGATTAGTTAGATTTATTTGTATTTTGACATGTGTTAAGTCGATCAAAAGGAGACGTTCTGTTTACAGAACAATCTTAATCAATACTAAGTTAGCATATTATTTCTAATTCAAGATAGTTTTTAACATAAAGAGAATAGTCATACGGTTGATCACCAAAAAAAAAAGAAGGGAATATTCTTTTTTATCAGACGTTCTGCATTATTTACATTACGTACGAAACATTGCAGATTGAGACTCAAATAACGATTCTATTATAGTGTCTTGTCAAAACTATCAAATGAATCAATAAAAAAACGCTTCTTATTACTGATGTTAATTAATGATCTTAAACATGCACCTGTTCCATCTTAAAACTTGTAAAATTTCTGTACTTTTATTATTTTCTTAGTTGATGATTATCATATTATTTCTTTTGTAGATAATTCAAGGTTAAAAACAAAAACATAACCATCAGTTTTTATCTTTCATCAACAGATCTACGAAAAACAGCATTTTTCTTTTTTACATCAATATACTTGTATAACCATATTTCTTCAGCTTTACAAGAAGTTGTCATAAAATGTTATTGATGATAACGATGAAGTAAACTGCTGAAAAAATAATGCTTAGCAAATGGATAAATGGAAAAATACCTATTAAAATCTCAAAAACATCAGCCATTGTTTCGACTCGATAATTAATCTCAATATACATACGATCGAGTATAACCAATAACTGACTTTAGTTTATTGAATTTTTTACGAAATAAATAATAATCATAAAAATGTCCTTTTAATCGTCTTGGAAAAAACAGAACATTGTCAGTCTAACAATAATCATTTGTATCTAATACAACATAATGGTCTACTGTTTCATCAATTTGTTACATGGAAAGAAATAGAAGCAAACAAAAACGACGACAAATTTTCAAGAGAGTTATGTGAATAATACTTATTCATTCTTATGTTTGTATGACATAATAAGAACAAGTAACGTATAATGAGATCTGTTCACACATCTTACTAGTTCAAATAATTCAATTTTTATTTTTACTAGATTATTTAATATCGTTGAAATAATAATAAAATAATAACTTTTCATTTTTTCAAAATATATATACTTATCTATTCCAGAAAACTTTGATCAATGTCAAAATTCTGTTTATACATTATATTATAGACAACACGGAACCAGGATGGGAGAAGAACTATCGCTACTCGCCATAGTTTGATTTCTCGGCATTGTTATAAGAAATCCACCGAGAAATATTCATGTCAATTAACATAATATTATTCTTTTTAGGGGAGATATTCTTGTTTTTTCTATTTAGCAAAGTAAAGTGAACATTTCTCTAAACGCATCCATAAAACAAGACAATAAAAATAAAATGATTGTATTGTATGAAATTTATTTTTAAAATGTACATTTATCAGTTTAATTTGCTTGATAAATTAATTATAAAATGTTATGAAAAAATATTTCACATAAACAAAAATAAAATAAAAATAAAATAGTAAAAAAGTGCTGATCATGTCAGTTCAATGGACCAATATCATTATACATTGATAATAGTTAAAATTTTAATCTAGAAACAAATAGCATTGAAAGAAAAAATACAACAGGAATTATAAACAATATTAGAAATAGAACAAAAAAATCTTGTTCTGATTATTAAACATTTTTACAAATATTTCAGTTTGGAGTATTACGAAGAAGATGACTGATGAATATTTTAACTATAGATGACTATTTCAGTTGAGTTTGCAATAGATTGAGAAGAATTCATACTCTATAATAGACATCTATTTTGTCGATTAGGTTTGAAGAAGTTCAAATTTTTTAAACAAATCTCTAATAAAACCGATATGAAAAAAGATCGACATAAAATGATAATCATATTTTTTAAAATCTGATTTTATAACAAGAACTATTCGTTCAATATCCAAGTTTATAAATCAACAAGGTACAAGAAATATTTATTAAATTCAAAATTAACAATTTCTAATTCACACTGTCATATTTACTGTTTGCATCATAGATCTCAACGATGATAGAGATTTTCTTCTTATTATTAGACTTTCTCTCATTTTACCACACGCTCTTCCAACTGAAACCTACGATAGTCTTTTAACAAAAAAATATGTTTTTCCGGATTACTAATAATTTTTACTAGTAAACATGATTTTCTTTTGAACAAGGTGCACGCTGTCTCCTTGTAAATTACTGTATTTAAAAGTATAATTGTTTTTACTTCACTTACTTTCTAACGGCAAATAATCGTCTGCTTGTAAATAATCTTTCCTTCTTCCATGGTAATTCTTTTAGCCCGAATCTCATTTTATCAGATATTCTTTTTTATTCATTTTCTTGTTGAGTTTTCTAATTCCATTTGTAAAATAAATAAAGAATCTGCTGGAAAAAAACTCATTATAAGACATCATCTAATTTACAATGAAAAATAGTTTTACTTGTAGGTTTATCGTATCGAAATATAAACGAAGTTCATAAAATTTAGATTCAACGAGTGCATGGGTTTTTATGATGTGCTATTTTGATAATTAATCCTCTGGTGTGACAATTACAATTTCAACAAACACATCCCTAGGAAATAATGCTGGTAACCGATCAAATACCTCATAAGGTATTGATCTGTAAGACAATTTTCATGAGTTTTAATATTAAAAACCAAATTAAAATCGAGAATATTTAATTAGAAGCGTAAAGTACTTAGTACATACTTCAGACATTTTTGGATTGTTCAATTAGATAAACTAAACACCAGTGGCTAAACACCAGTACTTCGATGTAAAATTGTCGAGTCCAAGGTAATCGACTGTGGACAATCCAAATCTGGAATTAATTTCTATCGCATAAGCTTTTATCATTAGTATTTCTCAATTAGATTGATATATGATCTGAAATAAACAAATGAATATGTCTCGGTAAAAACATACGACATTTTTCTTCTGACAGTCCGTCCCATTCTAAGATAAAATGTCTTCAGTACTGCCTACTGTTATTATATAAACTATACTTTTTCAATTTAATTCTCTCTTTCTATTTTTTTTCTCCTTATCTTGATATAGTGTCATCCTTTAGTATCAAACGAAACAATACACCTTGGTTTTGGTGTATCGCGAACTGGTGGAAATTTTCCATAGGTTTATTGTTCACTCCATCATGAGGAACATTCAGCACCTGTTATTTAATGGAATGGTGCCACTTTCGATTAGTATACTGTCGCTACTGTACATTTATTATACATCATAAAGTTTAATTTGTTGAATTTTCGGATCAATGAAAATTTAGATACAAGTTCGTCATCATTAAAATCTTTACCTTAAAAGTATTTCAACTAAATGTCTAATTAACATGGTACAGATGCGATCCGGGATTTTAAAAGTTAAATCGGAATCGGAGCCAAATGCCACAAAGATTTCCACACTGATGTAGCTTATTTCCATAGAATTTCAAAACCAAAGTACAAGGCTTTTTATAGCAGGGAGGGCTACCCACTCCATTAAACCCAACCGAAGGGTCTCTGATGGTGAATCTCGCTCTCTCACTTGTGCAGTATTACAAGCTTCCTGCATTTCACCCTCACCCCGAGACCTATATAACAGAGAAAATAATCCTACAAAGCAGAAACTAGATAATTGTTTTTCCGTTGCTGAATTCTTTAGATGTTATCAGAAAATAATTTATTGCATTTAATTGAAAAATATGTACAAGACGGTGATGAGATGATTTCGTCGCAAATATCGGATGGTAATCCTGCCGTTTATATTATTAAATAGAATATTTATCTTTGCTATTTTATTTAGAACTGGTCAGAAAACAGATAACTTTACTTGATTTTATTCTTAGCACGGGGTAACTAAATATCATCAATCACCTTATTTATAATTATTGTTCTTTTTTTTCTTGCAGCGAATATCTTAAAAGTGCCGAATTATCTAAACGTTCCGTTGCATTTGTTTTAATATCGAATGTATTAGCAAAACTGCCAGACACATTTTTGACATCGATCGAAAGTAAAATAATTAACTACTGATTTACTGTAGTATCAATCTCTCTTGAAAAGTTGTGTAGCACATAAATGCATTTTTTTGACTTTATAGTACATCATTTGGTTCAATTTGTTTCTGCAAAATTATTCGACCATCATATATTAGCACGACCATCAGTTGAATTATACAATACATTGGTAAGGTAAAAGTCATGATTAACTTAGGACATAACCTTGAGCAAATACATGCGTCCAATTCGATTTTGATAACCATATGTTACAGTTACTAGATCTGAGGGAAAGAATCTGTATATGAAACTCGACTTATTTTATTATATTTAGCAATTTTACAACCGCCTTCTTAGTTACTAGAGACTCAGAATTCATTTCTGAAAGAATCAAAGAAGATACCACGACCGGTTTCAACCTTTCTCAAGGGTCTCGTCAGGTGGTTTCCTTCGAGAAAGACAGAGTTAAGGCACGACAGGCAACACAAACTCCGTCCACACCATATGAGGGTGTTACTATTCCTTGTTCTTATCGAACGAAGAACGATAACCTTCACACGACGAGAGCGAAGCACGATATCACTGTACAATGCACATGTTCTGCTTCTTTACATTAAGTATTTCTTTTCATTCTATCAGAAATGACTCATCATTTTAACATAAACTGTATCTAGTAACTTTCACTCAACAACTGTTGAGATAAATGTGAAAAGCACCATACTTATGGTTCGACCTTGGGAAGTGGTCATCCATCTTCTTACTAATCGTAGTTATGACACAATAGAGAAAGACAATACGTCATAATTCTCTACTTTATAGTGACAAACTCCATAATAATGCATGGTTTGATCTTCAGAAGTGGTCACCCATCCTCTTACTAGTCAAGCTCGTTTACAGTGGAGAAAGACAACATTTTGTCAAACCACCTGACGAGACCCTTGAGAAAGGTTGAAACTGGTCGTGGTATCTTCTTTGATTCTTTCAGAAATGAATTCTGTCTAAGTCTCTAGTAACTAAGAAGGCGGTTGTAAAATTACTGAAGGAAAGAGTTGTTCTGAAAGGAAATTTGACACAAATCTAACCAGTTTGTTTTCTGATATTGACACGATACTTCTCGTAGGTTCTTAGCCATCTAGCAAATATTCTCTCTACTAGTTAGCAAACTATTATTGTTTATTTGATTGTTTTAGTCAAAGCAAGTCGCTATCAATGATGAAGATTGTTTAGTAATGATCAAGTCAATTTATGCTGATGTCTATGTTCAATCATTTCCACAAACGAATCGTTACACTGTTTATGTTATATTATTTAGATTTCTTGTAGAAAAATTAAACGGTAATTGAATAATAAATAATTCATCTTTTATAGTCTAATCAGTATCCTTTCTCTTTAATGTTTAGCTATTCGTCAACATGGAAGTGATTTTGTATGTAATTTCATTCAATCGATGGATGGTGAACGTGATCCAAGAAATTTGGTGATTTGTTTTCAATGTTTACAGTATATAACAAAATATTTAGATATAGGTGTGTAGTAGATTAAAATAAAAACTTATATTGTTGAAATAGCATGTTAAAGTTTAGAGCCGTACAAAGAAGAATTATTTGATGTTGTCTCATGTTATTTTCCGATCGATTTTAAACCGGTAAATATATAATTAGACTTCTTATTAATTATCTGTTGCTATTCTTATGTATAGTAAAATTATTTCTTAAATAAAAATTATAAAGATATTATCTTGAACAAATTTAATATTGTTATTTTTGTTATTAGCGTTCGGCAAACGATAACGATCAAAGTGTTACACAAGAACAATTGATTTTATCGCTAAGAACTGTTTTAACTTCTACAAACAAATTTGCTCAATATTGTATACCAATGTTAATCGAAAAACTTGACGCTGATATTCAAAGTGCTAGAATAGCTGCTATGAACGTGTTTGTACGTAGAAATCACAATCATTTATTATATCATTCAAGTCATTCCTCTTCATGATAGATTCACTGCGTTGATACGTATGAGGCAAAAGATATTGAACAACATTTAGTTACATTATGGAATTTGTTCACTAAACAGGTAATTTATGCTTAACAAGTATACTAAAAACTTTGGTTACTATTTTTTTTCCTTCAATCTAAAAGAATGGTTGCAGATATCACCTTAATCTATAATCTTCGGATACATTACTAGAAATTCCTTTCTTTTTCTCTCAGCAACATCTTGTTTTTCATTATATTTAGGCATTATGTGCTGAAACTCAATCGATTGAAAGTTATGCATTACGTTCAGTTACCGCACTGGTAGAATTAATCAGTAAATCGATTCAAAATGATGAAACAAATGTATCAACAACAAAATTTACTGAACGAGCTATTCGAGGTGTGAAAAATAAAACAAAAAGTAGCACATATTAATCAAATCGTATTTTTTTTAATCATTTAGAATTGGAACATTATCTAAAAGAACCAGATTTAAAATTGATATGGCCAGCAACAAAAATTCTTCAGTGTGTTGCACGTTCAAACTCAAATTCATCTACTCTCATATTGAATCATGTTTTACCCGTTCTAATTCAACAGTTTAATGCAAATAAATCGGTATCTTTGGATTGTTTGGTGTTTTTTTTGTCTGGTAATTGCTTCACTGAGCTTTTCTTCACTCATTTTAGATAAGTCACAAACGGACGTTAATAGATATGATCGAACATTTTCTACGAACCCCGAGTAATTTTTTTCTGATTTCTTTTCAAACATACCATAACCGTTCTTTTTTCCAGATCCTCCTGTGATTACTCAAACTACAACTGAGCAATTGTGGAATTTATTATTGAACAATTTTGATGATGTAATAAATAATTGTTTATCATTAAGTGCATCACTTTTGAAAATTGGTGACAACATTAAAATAAATGAAGCACTTGCTGCAAAGCTGATTCCTATTATCATTAATGGTATAATACGAGATGAGTTAAAGTAAGATTTAACATATAATTCTTGTGTATAATATATGTTGCTTAGAAAAATCTTTATCTATTGAGTTTAGAACAAATATGTTTAGTCTTTTAAAAACTATTGCATTATTACCGTCAACTAATGATTTATGCACAACATTGTTATCATCAATCTTAGATTATTGGACAAGTATGTTACATACATTGAACATTACTCTCAACGAATATGTGTCTCTATTTAAGATAACAAATCTTCTACGGATGATTCAATTCAATGTTATGTTTTTCTTTGTCAAAATTCTTCATATTGTCAAAAACGCATTGAACCATTTATAGATCGATATTTTTCTCTTTCTGGTACATTTAAAAGAATTTACTCAAAATCAGTATAGAACTATTATTGTTTCATTTGTATTTTATTAGATAATTCTCAGAACGAAAAGACATATACAACAATATTTAGTCTCTTACCAATTTTGTTTGATGATTTATCTCCAAAGTACGTGATGACAAAAATATTTACGTCACTGTTGGATTTATTTAATAAACAACCCAAACTATTCAATTCGCATGCTGCTGCATTTTGCTCCCAATGTGGTGTGATTATGGACGAAACGTGAGCGTTAAATAAATCTAATTGATAAATTATCTAATTTTTCTTTGTTAATTAGATGTATAGATGATGTAGATAAACTTTGCCAGTCAACAATACTAAATGAGACCAATTGGCAGACACTAAAAGTAAATCGACAGCACACAAATAAATATGATACACTTTTATCACTGTTTTTTTATTTTTTAGTCAACATCATCTTTCGTTGAATTTATACCGATCATGTATTTTCTGAGCCATCTGAAACGAAAAGTAAGTGTAGAAACTAGACAGTTAGCAACATAACTTAAGAGAAGACCTGTTCAAGTATCATGGTTCTATTCAAAAATGAAGTATTGAAGTTTGAACGTCAACGTATGACGTGAACTATCCACTTTCAAAAGCTACATCGCTTTCTTCTATGTGTGATCCTTTCGGGCTTCTGAAAAAAGTTTCAGAAGCTTCGAATGCATGCTGGTTGAAGACTACTGTCTAACAATTGAATAAACAGTGCCGAGTTTAACGTCTCTGTCGTTCAGTCTGAGATCATTTTCTCTACATACAGTCTGACAAACTTCTTTTTCTAATAAGATATATTTCTATAAAAGGTATGGGTTTTTTTAAATGTGGTATCGGTGTTGGAGTTCCATTCTCGGCTAGTCCACGTAACGGTCTACTTTTTCGAAAACGGAGTCCGTAGGAATGCATGAATCATGAATACTTCGACATCTTGACCTGAAACTTTAACTTTTCTCATGTTAAATTCATTCCACCCACAAAATTAATTTAAACTTTAGGTCAGCTAACATTTCGAGCTATGTTCCTAAGATCTTGCTTCACACTACTTTAATGTTACCAATGGACTTCGTGAGCTAGACTGATGTGGATTTAAGAATCGCGATTATCTAACATTCAAGAATTTACTGCTAATATCTCTGTTATCATTCCTTATTAAGAATTGTTATGGTTTTTGTTCTTAGTATTACGCAAAACAATTCGGTGATATCTATACAAAAATTAGTAAAAATTTAGTTGAATTTTCCTTAATCGATAATGTTTCTGCTGACAATCAAGACGTATTTCGGTTATTTTATGGTAACCTTATTAATAAACTTTCCTTAAACGGTAAGTATACGTACTAGATTACTTTGAATCTAAAGTTCGTTGATCTGTTGTTCTTTTCTTAGAATACGTGATGGAACAGTCAAATGAGCTTTTAGCCGAATGTGAACAACATATTAATCAAAATTCGCCATCTCATCTGAAATTGTGGACAATCGTAGTGAAAGCATTAACAATTAGTAGACCATTTAAGATAAAACAATACATTGAGAAGGTAATAATATAAAATAAATACGATGGAATGTTGAGTTTCTTTTATATTTTCTTAGCTTGTTGAATGGATTAATAAAATTGAATTCGTTGATGATTTAGCTTGTCAATCATTAAAAATATTAACAACGATTGAAGATGAATCATTTTTATCAATAAATGCTGATTCCATTATTCATCCATTAGTCAAACAAATAGTATTTGTTCATATTGTTTCATATTTGAAACCATTGCTAGAAAATAATGGTCAGTTCTTGTCCACATTGTATTGCCCAAAGAACGGCTTAATCACGAGGAATGCTCTTTTGAGATTTAATTGACATATGTACAGTTCGATAAAGCTCGATAGCGTAAATCATTGATCTCGATATTTTTTCATCCCGAAATTATTTGACCCCTGATATCCAAAACAAACTGCTATACACATGCGCTAACCTTTTACGAATAACTTTATTTCTATGAGATGAATTTTTCCCTAGATTATCTCATTCAGAGCAAGTTGTAGTGACCATAAAGCTTCTCTTACTCTATCCATAAGATTCTTTAGGGGGGGATAAGTGATAAGTGAACGCTAACATAGGACAAAAATGGTTGTTTTTAGTGTTAAAGACTAAATAAGTCTGGAATGAAAAAGCATGAAGACGAATGCTTTACACCATCATTCTCAGTGTATTGAGGTTTATCGAACTGGATACATGTGTTATTGAACATCTTGAACGACATTTTGAAAGCGTCTCCCTTACATCGAACAATATACTTCATGAGAATAGTCGACAGAGTTTTTCTACATAATGTATTGATCTTGTTAATCGAACGTTATATTATTTAATATGAATTATCCTCAGTGTTCATCTCTGTAAATTATTATTCATTTAGATATAAAAGCAGGACAAATGAATGTTTTGATTGATTTATTAAACAATGTTCCAAAAGCAATTGTAAAGGACGAATTAAAATCTGTATGTTTTTTTATTATTTAGTCTTTAGAGTCTATATTGTTAATTTGTTTTGTTTCATTAGCTTCTGCCTATTTTAATTCGTGGATTAGCATCATCGAATGAAAACGTGTGGTCATCTGCATTAAAATCCTTATGTGATTTGATTAAAAATGAACCATCAACATTAGTTCCATACATTGATAAACTTGTTCCAAGATTAACCACATTAGCTGTATATAAAAACAATATGGTATAATAGTTTATGATTCTACTGCATTCTCATTCATATCAATTTTTATTTTTTGTTTTCCTATGTGTGTCTGTTTAGAATATTCGAATAACAAGCCTCGTGTGTTTGAAGTATCTATGTCAATTACCATTTCGTACTGTAAAACCTTATCATCGGCATATTGTTCATGTTTTACAATCATGCGTTGATGATCACAAACGATTAGTTCGAAAGCAAGCTGTTCTAACACAAATGGCTTGGTAATACTTGTTCATTAATTTTTAATAATATTTATATCATATTTTCCATGTCTTTCTAGGCGTTTATTCAGCGACGAAGTAGCTTAAATTTTCTGTTTTACTGCTTTTAACTCTCTGTTATGATTTAGAATAAAACGATAAGGTGATTTTCACTAATTTCGATTGAATTTAATATTTTTACTTCTAGCATTGATCGATCTTCGCCGATTGTAAAGACTTTCCTTTTTTTTCCTGCTTTTCCTCGCTGATTTTAAAATCACCACTGAAAATTTATGCTCATATTTTTCAAACACGACAAAAGTTCAACTCTTTTGTTTTGATTTATTTAATTTGATTTGTGTAATAAATTCAAATTATTTTTTATATTTTTTAGATGTTTTTATACTTTTCATTTCATATTGATAATGAAAATTATTTGTATACTTGATTACTTAGAAATTTAAATCATGTGTGCATCGTTATACGACGAAGATGAACTGGATGAGAAAGAAATAGCTAAAACAATAACTGTCGATCAACCACAACAACGTAAATAAAAATTCATGATATTTATAGTGCCCAAGTTTTGATGAATTCATTTTTAAACTTCAGCATGGGGAGACAGTATTCGTTTGTTACAAGCACAACTCCATACCAAAAAATTACAACAACATCATCATCAGACAAAAGTAGGTATTTGTCTAAAGAAAGTCTTAGATTCATTGTTTACTTTTTTTTATAGAAAGAATTGAAGGGTGGTGGAACAGTGGCACCGGTAGCGGATCTAAGAAAACGTCGACTACCTCGATTTGGACCAGGACCAGAAGTTTCGTTTAATAGTATGACAGGAAAGGTAAATTATTCGTTTATCTTTCTTTTTTGATATTATATTACTTATATTTCCATGCAGATGGAAGTACATGATCAAAAATCATCGGAAAACATCAGTTCGAATGTAAACACTGTTCAACCACAACCAGTACAACAACAATTGACATCTATTGCACTACTAACATCAATCACAACAAACATTCCAGATGAATATGATGTAACTAAAATTCCTTCAACCTTTTTAACCTTTTAATTATCAAAAATAACGTGTAACATCAGTCTAATTGATTGAAGATTGAAGTTTTATCGTAAAATAGCATGATATATCGAGGGGGAGGGGGCAAATCTATATTTATTTGATACTTTCAAGGCTTATTTTATCCGCTATCTTCAAACTGTCATATTTCGTCTATATTTAGCCTTTAAAACCAAACGATTATGAAAAACTGAAAGAACAAAAACGTCGTCAACAACAACGTGAACGTGATGAAGAAAGGCGACAACAGGATGAAGAAGACCATATATTAGATTATGAAAAAGAGAAGGAACGTGATCGTGAAGCGGAAGAAAGATTAAAAAAAGGAGCAGCTTTTGCACCACCACCGTCATTAATCGAAGAAGATAAACGTTCAAGTTTAGAATCAAGTATATTATGAAAAGATTTGTTTTGGATCTATACTTTGTATCAAATCTATTATTTAAGCTTCAAACGAAGTCATGTTACCACCTCCAAATCTGAAAGATCGTGTTGAACGTATGGATACAAGCCCTGCGCGAACAGCGTCGCCAAGCAATGTAACATTACCTCCTCCATCGTTACCACCTCCATCTTTAGTAAATCCATTTGGGTACACTACGGGACATCTGATTTGTACTTCATTTGTATTCTTTCTTTCTTGCTTTCTTTCAGTGCTAGTGCAGCTGCAAAAATTATGGCCAAAATGGGATATAAAGAAGGTCAAGGACTCGGGAAGTCTCAACAAGGAATGAGTCAAGCACTGGTTGTCGAAAAAACATCGAAACGAGGAGGAAAAATTTTGCATGAAAAAGAATTACCTCTAAAACAGGGTAACGTATATGTTTTCATGAATAAGACAAAATAAAATGGTCGTATTTTTGTTTTGATTAAAGAAATTGTACCTCCAAAGGCTGATTCTGGTGTCAATATGACTGATGAAATGAAAAATCGTTCAAAAGTTGTTTTGTTGAGGGTATGAAGAGGAAATATTCTGATATTCAATTGAAGATTGACTGTTGAATTTATTTATGCATTTAGAATATGGTTGGTGGTGGAGAAGTTGATGAAATGTTAGAAGGTGAAACGAAAGAAGAATGTCAGAAATATGGTGAAGTAGAAAAAGTTGTTATTTTTGAGGTTAGTAGACAACTATGAGTTAATTATTAGAAACCAAAGTTGTCATATTTTTTTTCTAGATTCCTGACTCACCAGATGAAGAAGCTGTTCGAATATTTGTGGAATTTAAACGAGTTGAATCAGCTGTCAAGGGTAAAAAGTAGTTTAATTGATTAATGGAAAGACATAGTGTACAGAAAATCTCGAGTTCGATACCGTACAAAAAAAGAAATCTTTGCTATGATGAATAAAATGATAGGTATGAATAAATAGTTGATTCAATATCATAGAGCCAAATAAATAATCTGAGCAAAGATCACTACCGTTTTATCTATAATGGTTATACACGTTCGACTATGAAAAGTAACTTATTAAATTTTTTTTTTCTCTCTTTTTCAAGCTGTAGTCGATTTAAATGGACGTTATTTTGCTGGCAGAGTGGTACGCGCAACATTCTATAATGTAGAAAAATTTAGACGATATGATTTAGCAGATGAATACTGAAATTATTTATGTTATTACATGTTATGTTGTAAATTTATTGTTATCGTTATTTTTTTTTTCTCATATGTACAAAGAATATTGTTTGTTTTATTAATTTGTAATAAAAAAATGTTTACAGTGTTACTTAATCATTAGTTTGGTTTTAATTATTAAAAAAAAATTAATTTCTATCACATTATGTTAATTGTACGTACACTTTCCTCTATAGAAAAAGATATCTTCTATTCAACCTTTTACAATGGATGGTGATGATACAAAACATTTAGACGATGATGCATTTATCGGTAATGCTGAGGATAATACACAAGATAGCAAAAATACACCTTTGGAAGATAGTGATTGGATCAATGAACTACGTCACGCATTGGATGGTGGATGTGATTTAGGATCCATAAGAAATATTGGAAAATGTCGTCCACTTAATAATGAATTAAGATTACGAGTATGGCAGGTAATAAAAATAATAAAGATAATAATTGAAGACAGAATTACTGGTTAAAATTATTTTTAGACATGTCTTAATATTAATACTAATACCGATGAATATAAATATGTCAATGAAGTTTTTGATCTTCCTGAACAAAATACCATTCGTGAAGACGCTTTAAGATTAGTGCGTAGGTGAACATATTCTTCTTTTCATTTGTATTCGTATTGTATAATTTGATTTATCGTCGCTTCTTTATCATCTTAGAATCGTTAAATTTGAATGAACAAGAAGCTGCATCAAAAATGAATGATGTTGAAGCTATTATAACATCTTATTGTAAACAACAGTAAGTTGCATTTGTTATAAAAATAACACCTACGTACTCGAGATATACATATATATAATGGCATAATGAACTATCGCAAGGAAATATATCACATTGTAACATACTCTCTAATTTATTGTGATGTAGAGATGGAAGACTCCTATTGCTCGACGACTCGAGGCTGCTCAGATGGCCCCAGTTAAATGACTATAGCTACCAAACACGAAAAAAGACAGAGGTTTCGAACTTGTTTAACTTTGTAGAGCAGATGTTGCTCTATCTAGGTATAAATTCAGAACAAAAATTTTATTTAGAATCCTGTCCGCGGCACTGTCGGATATTTTGTCCTAGAAGGTACACCATCTGAAACTGAGAGTTTGTAGATCATTTTTAAGTCGTTCGATAGCCCCATGAATTTACTTCAAAATGATGAAAACCAGTCCTCTCTAGCTCATTTCGATCAAACGTTATTCAAAAAACATCCGAGTCCACTTTATTTTGAAATAGATAGTAGTTCTAGACTCGGACTGGACTCGAGCTCAGACATTTAGAAAGTTATTTTCATTATTTTTTGAATAAAGTATTATATTGTTTAGTCTGAATTTGAGAGTCAAATATACTGTGTTCTTTTTTATATTCATTCAATGTGACATTGTATTTATAGGAAGATATGATAAACATGTATATCTGATATAGAGACAACCAGAAAAGATGTACATGCATGTGACAGTTTCTATGCGCTTTTCTTTCTGTTACAATACGATTCCACCATCAAAAGTCGAAAATAAGATTCAAGCGCACTTGAACTTGAAAATTACCGAACTCACTAATAGCTGTCGCGATATATGAAGAGAGAGAGTGAGAGTTTATCGCTATGATATTAACCATAAGATATATCAGTGAGTGGGTGTTACATGTCGATACATACCATAATTACAGTAGGCGCCAAATGAATTTCCCCCCTACGTATTTTTCAGAGAAAAATGACAGGATCCATTCTTTTCTCATTTTTCTACACGTAGAAAGAAAGCGCAGAATTTGCTACATCAGACCCCATCAAGAGCACAAAGTAAGGATGTGATTTTGATAGTGAAAATTTTGTTGAAAGAAAAAGATGTCAAAATTCGTTGTCCCAAAACTTATTTTCCTCTTGATTATTGTCACAAAGGTG